TTTTAAGACTGAAATTGCAGGATAAAAAAATTGTCTCAAATCTTACCTGTTCTTCATCAGATGGTCCATTTTATTACCCATTTCTGAAATACAACCTTTGGTTTGGTTATTAAAAAAGTAATAAATGCTATGGCTTATTCTGTTACATTTTCTCAGTTGATACCTAGTATATTTTTTGCTTGCATTTGTTGTCTGGTCAGTATTAATTTAGAATTTTACCTTTTTACTCTGCTCTCTACTCTGCTCTCAGACCTTGCTTTTGTGATGAAACCCAAACTGGTGAGTTGTCACATAGCTTGAGTATTTATCTCCTTGTGGGTTTTGTGCAGGCTAACATTTGATACAGTTGTGAATGATGACAAAATTGTTTCTGCCTGTTTTTTGTCACATCCCTGAGTTTCTAAGCCCTCTGACGATGCCTCGTTAGGGAAAATCAATTTTCTTCCACTTGCTACAGCACATTCTCCTCACAGTGGGGCTCAGGCAGTCCCTCGGCAGGGCCAGAAGGGACGCACCCACTGGGAGCAGTGGCAATCAGAGAAGTCAAGCCCTTACAGTACCTGAATTTTCCCTGTGATTTATGTTTGTTTGTATAAGGATAAAGTCATTTGGCAGAGCAACAAAATCATTCTTAAATATGGGTGGGTTTTTTGGCACCACAAAGACAAAAGTATTCAGCTGAATTGGGACTTTGCTAAGATACCTGATAACCTTGTCCTGTTGCTGCTTCTCTCTTCAGTGTTCATTTTTACATACACAATTGAGGTACCTGAAAAATGAGTGACCAAGAAAGAGATATAAGAAAAAGCAGTAAGTATTTTCTGTAGGACTCAGCTGAGGCTGTGCAGAGTGACAAGGCTAGCTTAACTGTGGATGCCCGAGACTGTTCTCACAGTTGCCACAACGCCGTGCCTGCCTCTTTCTCGCCCTGTCCTGGTGGTGCTGGGGCCAGCTCTGCACGTCCTTCCTGTGCAGTTAGCGAGGAAAGGAGCGTGAGGGGCTGAGGTGACCCTGAGATCAGGAATGTGGTCTTGGGCCCTGGGGCCTGGGGCCTGGGGCCTGTGTGGTACTTCCCTCTAGTTGGGACCTGGGGGCCTCAGTGACTTTGTAAAACCTCCACAGTTGTGAAAAGGGTAACTACAAAGAAATGAGGCTGACACTGTGTGACTTCTGGAAGCAGAGGAGGGCCAGGAACTCGACCATGACTGCAGCAGGACACCGCATGGCCCGAAGCCCACAGCTGTGGTGAACAGAAGGTACACTGTTTACACTGAGAAAAGTGAGTGACTTTTAACTGAAGGAAAGAATTAATATCTGGGAACTGACTTCGTGCTCTTCAGTGTGGCCTCTCCCTCTCCCCGTCTCTGTCCCCGCTCTGTCCCTCTTCCTGGCCTCGTGCTGCCCCCCCCCATCCCTGTGCCTCCCGCCTGCCTTCTGCTGGCTGCTGTCACTTCCAACTGTGCTCCCGGAACGTGGGCGCCCATCGCTCCCCTGGTGACAGCTGGTCGGGGTGGGGGTGGGCTCTAGAAGCATCGTGAAGATGGAGGCAACATTTCCAGGGACAGTGACTTTTGATATAGCTCCGCATTTCTGAGGCAGGAAGGTAGGGAGGATCCATGCTCAGATGTGGAAAGAGATGTTCCTCTGTCTGTGCGGCCTTTAAGCAGGACAGTCTCTTCTCACCAACCCTATGTCATGACCCCGACCCTTGCTATGGCTGCGCGGAAGGGGCAAGAACTCATTTCCTACCTTCCTGTTGCTGTCTCTCCACCTTTCCCTACCCACATGTGTCCTAAGGAAACAATGCATCAGGCCTTACCTTGGTCTTTGCAGAGCTGAAAATCCCAGCGATAACACACGCACACAGATTGGTCCACGGCAGCGGTCTCAGGCCAGGTGTGACTGGTACTTTTTCTGCAGCTCTAAGCCACTGCAGCTTGCCTGTTGAGTTTTTTGGTGCAGGTTAGTGTATGCCACCCCCGACCCCTGCCTCCACCCCCGCCAAAGGGTAACATTCTGACCTTGTCAGCAAACCCCAGGCTGCAGTTCACAGAATGTACCCCAGTCTCAGCGTCCCTCCTTGGCTGGGGCGGTCCGGGCTTCCACAAGTGGACCTATACTGGCGGAAGTCACCCAGAGTACTAGTTTCCCCTCTCCCTTAATTTGGATCAGGCAGTTTCTGAGGCCTATCTCCTCAATGTCTATTAAACTTTTTTCAGTCGTCAATTGACCCTTGAAATGAATTTTCTTTTCCGATTATTTTGGTCACACAAGAGGACCCTGGGAGTAGAGAGAGACTGGGGCCTAAAAAGGTTTAAAGCATGAAGTAACCGTGTTGTTAACAGGTCATTATGAGATGGGGTGGCTAAGGAGACTGTAAATACACATTTCAAGTCTTACCTCTTCCCCCGATGTCTTTCTTCACCTTCCCAGGCCTGTGTTTTCCTCCCGCGTCTTTGCCATTTATTCCTTCAGTTTTAAGTCCCCAGGGAAAAAAAATGTAGTAGTACTTTCCCTGTCTGTTCCCGGGAAAGTGAAGGCAAGACTGGTGAGAGCCCACAGGAGTGCTGTGGAGTCTGCGAGGGAAAGCGGTGGCGTCTCTGGCCCTCCTCTCCCCTCGCAAGTGAGCCAGAGGCTTCATTTGGGTCATGTCCCGGGGACGTGTGACAGACAGGTGCCCTGCCACACTTGGCGGAGCGGCGAGGCCCAGTCTGTGAAGGGGGAGGAAGGAGTTTGTTCTCAGAATTATCGAAGTGTCGTGTCTGCCGCACTGTTACGGATATAAGCCTGACTGGGGGCCAGTGGTCAGACTGGGTACTGACTGGTAATGAGGCACTTGGCTTCCTCAGGGTACTCAGTGTTTGTGGCGCGAATGACTGAATGGCCTTGCGGTGCGTCAGGAAGGCAGCAGTTATTTCCTCATTAAGTTGGAAATGTGTTAGATGTATTGAGAGGTTTTATATGAATAAAGTTCTTCCTCCTCTTGAAATTTCATTTGTAATACAGGTAAAATTGGCAAAAACCACAGCAAGGAATTCAATCTAAATCTGAGTCTGCAGTTTCTGGAAGCCTGTCCTTCTTAGGCATAGCAGTAAGGTTCTCTTAAGACCTAGGAGGGGAGAATAAATCAATCTACAAAACTAGAGGTATGATTTGGAGTCATCTGGGCTTTTTTTTTCCTCTCCCTATTAGAACTCTCCTTTCACTAGAATTTGGATTAAAGTTCAAAAATGGAATTGCAGTTATGGTTAATTGCTCATCTAATGGCTATTTAATCCCTCTTATTTGCTGAGAACACTTACTTTGTTTAAGGCAGCAATATGCCCCGCCCCGGGGGGTGGTCATGATCTTTCTAGGCCTTTTATGTTTCTCCTTCTGGTCCAGATATTTTTCCAGCCTTTCCTCTGAAGATGGTCATGTGACCCAATTTGGGCCAATAAGATGTAATGGAAAATCTGGGAAACCCTCGGGAAATTTTTTCCTCCCTGATTAAAGGAAAGCTCTTTCCAACTCCTTCCCTTTTTCCTGTTCATAACACTGGCTAATGGGATCGGGATCTGTGGCAACAATTTTGCAGATATGAGGTGAGAAGTACAAAGATGGAAACCCACCACGTTAAAGATGTCAGAGCAGAAAAATGGAAAGAACCTGCCTCCCAGATGACATTCTTGAGCCACTGAATCAACTCCAGTAACCACATACCTCTGAGCATTTTGAGGAAAACAAACCTCAATCACTCAAGGCTCTGTTAGTCAAGGTTTCTGTTACTTTCAGCTAAAAACATTTCTAATTGACGCATTCCAATCCTATATAGGTCAGGCCTCAGATCCATTTCACCAGACACCCCTCCCTCCCTCCCTCCCTCGATGTAGGATGCCTGCTGCTTCCCCTGCTCAGCTTCTGCCTGTGTCCTGGACTATTCAGTCACCTCGTCTGGGGAAGCTTTTCTGGTTTTTATCTGTCTTTCTGAAGCAGTTCGGTAACACCTCCCATAAAGCACATTCCATTTGGGTAGCTGTGTATGCACCTGTTGACCCCTTTCGATTCTGGTATATATTTGAAGGGCAAAGGTCACAGCCTCTGCCCCACCTCTGTGCCCGAGTCTGGTCTGGCCTTTGGATGGGGGCCAGAGGGAGGAGTTAAGAGTGGGAGAGGGTGGTCTGAGCAACTGTCTCTTGAGTATATGCCAACTCTGGAATCTGCAGACTAAAAATCTACCCTTAGCCCTCCCTGGGAGCGTCTGGAAAATATTATCCTTACAAATGATTTTGTAAATATTCCAGGAAATTGGCTCCTACTACCATTCCAGCAGCTATTGGAGCCAGTTTGGCTTCGGGTCTTAGAGAAATGATTTGTCATCTGTTTCATTTGTTTGCTTTTTCCTGACAGAGCTGGAATTCTGGATTGTTCCCCACTTAAACTGCCAAATCCAAACCAGAAGTAGACAGGGCAAGACACAAGGCTCTTCCTTCCCCCTCATTTCACAGGGTGAAAATTCACAGGTAGTTTTCCTAGAATTACACTTTGTGTCTGGCTTTTCAATCACATATTATGATTTTTTCCCCCTATAACAGAGAGGATCTTAGATACTCGAAAGGGAAAAGCTTGGAATCATTCTCATCAATACAGGAAGGGCCCTAACAAAGAGCTACTTCTGATACTCATTTTTAGAGGGAAAAGAAAGAAACTGAACTGTATGCGGTGCCTCGGATTGTTTACGTCACATTCAAATCTCACGCCCTAACAATACATGTTATGAGTTCTATTTTACCAGTAAAAGAACTGGTAATTTGCCCAGGGTGGCAACACTGGAATCTGAGCTCAGATCTTCAAGAGTTGAAGTTTTGTTTGTCTCAGAACATAACAGTACCAAGAAGTGGCATCTTTACTCCTCTCTGTTAAAGGTAATTATGTAACAGGGTAATAAAAATCTTCCCACCAAAAATGGTTTTGACACTCAGATACAGGAACAGGAACTGGAATTACCCACTAACTTGAAAAAACTAAAAAACCTGATTATATATATTAAAACAGCAGTTTTCAGCTGTGCAGAGCAGGGATGCCTGAGAGAAGGACAACAAATGAACCGAGTCCTGCCAGTGCCCCAGTGATGCCTGGAGCGAGACTCCAGACCGCAGCTCAGGGAGGGAGCACCACAGCTCAGAGGTCTCCCTGAGTTGAGAGAACAGACCTGGGAGTCCAGAGAGGCCAAAGTGGGCGAAGCTCATAGGGCAGAGTACAAAAGAGGAGTGAGCTGCACAGGAAGAAAGCATAGAGATCTGAGGAGTGTCCCCAGGGCGTCATCACCAAAGTTCACACAAAGCAGTGAATAGTTCGTGTTCCTGCTTGCCAGAGTAGAAAACTCCATAACTCAAAGGCACTGGAGAGGAGATGCAGAAAGTATTGCTTCAGTAAGAGAGCAATATTAGCCTTGGACTAAAGGCTGCAAAGTATCAAACAGTTTATGTGTAACTGTCTCCTAGAACACAAAGTATAAGAATTTAGGGATACAAATTTTTGAGTATGCAACAAGGTAAAATTCAAAGTGCTTGGCATCCAATAAAAATTATCAGGCATGCAAAGAGACAGAAAATAAGAAATAAGCCATAAGAAAGGGGGAAAGACCTGGAAATGACACAAATACAATTACTATTTGTACAAAAGGACATTGTAACTATATGACATATAGTCAAGAAGGTAGTGGTCCAGAAGTAGAGGCAAGATTGAGCATACTAGAGGCATAGAAGATGTGCAATGTCTAAAATTTTAAAAATAAATCCATCACACTGAGTGAGATTAACAGTAGATTAGACAGCAAAAGAGAAGGGCAGAGAACTTGAGACTATCTCAAACTATTTAGAGTGAAATATGACAGGAAAAAAGTGAACAGAACTTGAGTGAGCTGTGGGTCCACTTCAGGCAGCCTGATGTACATACAATTGGAGTCCTCAAAAGAGAACAGGTGAGTTTGAGGAGGAGAGGGGTACAGAAAAACATTTTTTCATGTTTTCATATTTATTAGGGTCATTTGAAAACAATGGTCAACATTGTTTTCAAACGATGAAAATTATAGACCGACGGATCCAAGAAGTTCAATGAATTCCAAGAAATAGGAAGAGGATCACACCAAGTCCATCTTAATCAAATTGCTTTAAACCAGTGATTTAAAAAAACTTAAGATCCAGAGTGGTGGTGGGGGGGAGACTTACTACACACACAGAAGAGCTCAGATACAAATGCAGGAGACTTCTCACTGAAAACAATGGAAGCCAGAAGACAGTGGAACAACATCTTTAATATAATAAAAGGAGTAAGACAATGAAACTTGTCAGCCTAGAATTCTATACACAGTGAAAATATCTTCTCAAACAGCAAAGGCAAAGTAAAGACTTTTTGAAACATCAAAAAGCTGAATAAATACATCACCAGCAGACCTGCATTATAAGAAATGTTTTAAAAACCTTTTAAGGAGATATAAAATAGTAACCACATGGGAAATATGTGGATAAATATTAAAGTCCCCCTTTTTTGTTACTAAATTTATTTAAAAGAGATTTGCTGAAAGCAAGAATAGTAACAGTTTATTGTGGAATTCCTAACACATTTCAAAGTAAAATTGCAGAAAGTTGAGAAAGGAGAAAATGGTAACACGTTATACATGAAGTGGTAAATATTACTTGAAGGAAAACTATGATGAGTTAAAGATATATAACATAAGCCCTCAAGTAATTCCCCTCACCCCCAAGAAGTGTTACAGCCAGTTCGCCAACAACATACAGTGGCATCATTAGTAAGTATTCAGTTAACTCAAAAAGTGGAAGAAAAATGAGGGGAGGGAACTAAGGGAAAAAAATAGCAAGATAATAGACTTAAGCCTAACCATATCAGTAATCACATTTACTGTAAATGGTCTAAACACCTAATAAAAAGGCAGTGATTGTCACATTAAATAAAAAGACCCAACTATATACTACTTACTCAAAATCCACTTTAAATATAAAGACACTAGTTTACAATAAAATATAAAGGTATATCATAGTAACACTAATTTAAAGAAAGCAGATGTACTACAGTAAGTACATTTACTAGAGAAAGTAGACTTCAGAGCTTGAGAACGTTACCAAGATTAAAATTAAGATGGCTATTTAAACAACCCAATTCAAAAATGGGCAGAAGACCTAAACAAGTAATTCTCCAATGAAAGACATATGAATGGCCAATAGGCACATGAAAAAGTGCTCAATATCACTAATTATCAGAGAAATGCAAATCAAAACTACCATGAGGTATCAAGTCACACCAGGCAGAATAGCCATCATTCAAAAGTCTATGAATGATAAATGCTGGAGGGGGTCTGGAGAAAAGGGAACCCTCCTACGCTGTTGGTGGAAATGCAGTTTGGTGCAGCCGTTGTGGAAAACGGTATGGAGATTCCTCAAAAGACTAAAAATAGACTGACCACACGACCCAACAATCCCACTCCTGGGCATATATCCAGAGGGAACTCTAATTCTAAAAGACACCTGCACCCCAGTGTTCACAGCAGCACTATTTACAATAGCCACCACATGGAAACAACCTAAATGCCTATCAACAGATGACTGGATAAAGAAGTTGTGGTATATTCATACAATGTAATACTACTTGGCCATAGAAAATAGAAAAATAATGCTATTTGCAGCAACATGGATGTCCCTGGAGAATGTCATTCGAAGTGAAGGAAGCCAGAAAGAGAAAGAAATACCATATGATATCACTTATATGTGGAATCTAAAAAAAAAGACAAATGAACTTGTTTACAAAACAGAAACAGACTCACAGACATAGAGAACAAACTTATAGTTACCAGGGGGAAGGGGGTAGGAAGGGATAAACTGGAAGTTTAAGATTTGTAGATACTAAGATATATAAAATAGATAAACAGGTTTATACTGTAAAGCACAGGGAACTGTATTCAGTATCTTGCAGTAGCTTATGGTGAAAAAGTATGAA